GAAGAAAATGTTTCGGAGGGATTCAAACCACTACAGAAGTTTTAAAGGGGGGGGGGAAGAAAAAAATTAAACTGAAGTCCACAACAGGCTCAGGAATTTGTTCCACTTATTAATTGAAAACAAAAGCAAGTCACTTGTGTTCCACTGTCCCCGGATTGTCCTCCTTGCATTGTTCCAGATCTCTTTCATTCCGCCCCCAGAGATTTCCCTCCTCTGTATTTTCAGCTGAATTTATTTAGGTTCCTTCGGAGTCTCATCCCGGAGGCAGCTCTTGTTGGGAATCAAGTTGCAGGGTCAGCCCTGTGGCTTGGCCTTCTTCAGGCCTGCCTGAGGCCCTGTGCTTAACCAGGTCATGGAATGGTTTGGTTTGGAAGGGACCTTAAAGCCCATCCAGTGCCACCTTCCACTAGCCCAGGTTGCTCCAACCTGGCCTTGGACACTTCCAGGGATCCAGGGGCAGCCACAGCTTCTCTGTGCAACCTTTACCAGGGCCTCCCCACCCTCCCAGCCAGGAATTCCTTCCCAATATCCCATCTAACCCTGCCCTCCTTCAGCTTAAATCCAGTCCCCCTTGTTGAGCACAAGATGTAGGCAGGACGTGCAAAGCAAATTCCCAAACATTTTCTAGCATTAATTTCTGCCTCTGCAATAACTCAAAGCCCCTCTGGCAGTTTTCCTGCATGGAAGTGGTGTCTGGGTAGGACCTGCCAGCCTGGAAACAGTCCCAAGAAGTGTCTAAAGCAGGGCTGGAGAGAGTGTAGGTTGTGTTGGTGCTTGGTGACAACACCTAAGATGTTGCTCAGAGAAGCTGTGGCTGCCCTTGGATCCCTGGAAGTGTCCAAGGCCAGGTTGGACAGGGCTTGGAGCAACCTGGTCTAGTAGAAGGTGTCCCTGCCCATGCAGGGGGTGGAACAAGGTGGTATTTTCAGGTTCTTCCCAACCCAAACCATTCTGGGATTGTGTCCTCCTGCCTCTGACCATGTTATAAGGAGGTTGTTCCCCCTTTCAGTTTTCCCTTGGCTGTATCCTCCCAAACCTCTGCTCTTCGCCCATTTTTGCTCTTGTGGATGAAGAAGTGGCTGGGAAGGCAGTGGAGTATCCGTGTCCAGGTGGGGGTTGAGCACAGGGAGCCCAGCGAGGCTCTGGGATGCCGGGGGAGGGCGAAGGTGTGGAACGTTCCCCACGGACACATTTGTGCTTCTGCCTGAGCCACCACTCCCTTTGTGCCACTTGGGAACTGGCAAAGGCACCTGTGGATCCACCTGAGGAGCACTGAGGGCACTTGGGTTGTTCAGCTGGAGAAGAGGAGGCTCAAGGGAGGCTTCATCAGGGTCTGCAGCTTCCTCTGAGGGGCAGCTCCATCTCTGCTCCGTGTGAGCAGGGACAGCACCCAGGGAATGGCTGGAGCTGTGCCAGGGCAGGCTCAGGTTGGATTTTAGGGAAAGGTTCTTCCCCCAGAGGCTGGTTGGGCACTGCCCAGGCTCCCCAGGGCAGTGGGCACAGCCCCAAGGCTGCCAGAGCTCCAGGAGGGTTTGGCTGATCCTCTGGGG